AAGTTTGAAAATTCATGAACATTTTTATGCCTGGAAGTTGTATCTTATATCTTCTTATGACTATATCACATTTTAAAAACTTTGGTTTGAATACCAAGTATATACAAGCATTAGTGGCGTTGGCTTTTAGGGACAAGCTTTCCAGATGGAAAAGCAGTTATAAACAATTCCTTCTGTGAACAGCATGGCCACAGACACTGTCTATTTGTGTGTGTGTGTGTACATATGGTGATTATTTTTTGTTTTGAACTATTTTTTATTAGTTCTACCCAGTGACACAAATACCTTTTAAGTGTCCTCAGACACAAGGGTAAAGACTAGACTCTTTCATAGTCTGACTCATCATATTCATGGATGGAACCTGGGTGAAACTTGACCTTGATTTTGAAGATACTCTCTTTATCAAAAGGATGACATCCACAAGACCCACTTAAAGCTTTCAGTCTGTGGTCAGTCTCCTCCAGCATGGGCTGAGTCAGGGGCACAGCTCCTGCACTGCATCCTCCAAACCTCAGTGTGGGGAGCGGGCATCAGCCACAACCTTTTTGCTGAAGGTTGGCAAGGACCTTCATGAAATAGCTGAGTTCTCCATTCCTCTGAAGAGCTCAGCCAGTCCATTCTGTTCATGTATGTTCAATGTAGGCCATTCTCTTGATTAGGTAGTGTGGACAGGGTGGGGAGAACCTACACGTTGGGGTTGAGGGAAAGCGATGGCACCTCTGGGCTTCCCCATAGACTACTGTATACAGTTGAGGATGGCTGAAGAACTGTCTTCACCCTGTTTATGCCAACCTGTTTTTCCATAAAGATTCCCAATGTATTTATTTGTTACACTTTTGTATTTAATCTTATGCAAGATAAAATACCCTTCAGGAGGCTTTTTTCTGTTCAATTTCTTATCTACCTGAAGCTTTGAGATTGGGAAACTCTTGTGCTTTTTTTTTTATTAAATATATTTTATTGAATTTTTACAGAGAGGAAGGGAGAGGGATAGAGAGTTAGAAACATCGATGAGAGAGAAACATTGATCAGCTGCCTCCTGCACACTCCCCACTGGGGATGTGCCCGCAACCAAGGTACATGCCCTTGACCAGAATCGAACCTGGGACCCTTGAGTCCGCAGGCCGACGCTCTATCCACTGAGCCAAACCGGTTAGGGTTTTTTTATATATATATATTATTGTAAGTAAATCCCCACTTTTAAGAACAAATGCAGGATTAGCAGGAGTGGGGAGAATCCAGGAACAAACTGAATGGCAGGACCTGAGCTGACAACTTAGGGTGAAGTTTTGTAAAGTTTTTTTCTTCTTTTTTTTGAGTCTTGATATTAATTGAACAAAACAAATGGGAATGACTGCATGTATCTTATTCTGGAGGTATTTTAACTATCAATTATCAAACAAATCAAGAAAAATCTTAGCATGCTTTCCTTAATCTCCCTCCTTCTAAATAGTTCCTTGTTAAAATCTTTAGTAATACTTCAGTAGAATTTATGTCTCACATATTGCAGCTCTGTCTAGGGCAGCCGTGGGCAAACTACAGCCCGCGGGCCAGATCAGGCCCGTTTGAAATGAATAAAACTAAAAAAAAAAAAAAAAAGACCGTATCCTTTTATGTAATGATGTTTACTTTGAATTTATATTAGTTCACACAAACCCTCCATCCGTGCTTTTGTTCCGGCCCTCCGGTCCAGTTTAAGAACCCATTGTGGCCCTCAAGTCAAAAAGTTTGCCCACCCCTGGTCTAGGGGATTGAGAAAATTATTTTTATAAGTAGGCTACAGGACTGGAACAAACAAAGCTGCAGTTATGTCTGATATTGGTCATCGTTATGATTTGGTCTTTCTACGTGTTGACCGGTGCTGTGTAGTCATTCCACACACATTTATTGAGGACCTGCTGTATGGCTCACACTCCTCTGGGGGCCGTGAATGCAAAGAACAACAAGACACTCACAGTGTCTGCCCTCATGGGACTTACCTTTTAGTGTGGCCGACAGATGATCAAAGAGGTGGAAGAATATAGAGCAAACCAGGGACGAGAGACAGTGGGTTGGGGAGGGAAGGTGGTCAGAGAATGCATTGGGCGCCCTCCAAATAATGAGACCGGAGCCTCACAAAGTGCTGGGAGGAGCGCTTTAAGGAGAGGGCGTAACAGGTGAAAGGCCTGGGCAGTTCTCTACCTTTGGGGACAAGAGAAGCTGGGAGCTCAGAGGCCCTGGGGGAGGCCTTTGAAGAATTTCTGGGTGTGATGGGAAGCCCCTGGAGGGTTTGAGTGTGGGAGGAGGTCCGAGTTCCATATTGAAAGGATAGCTGTCTGGGTTGAGAATGGGCTGTGGAGAAGGAGAGGGTGAGGGGCAGCAGGGGGTCCCAAGTGATGAATTTAAACTGTTTGTGCAGTAGCCCCTTGAGAGGGGTGGAGGGTGTGGCCTTTGGGAAGAGAGCGCCTGAGGTATTCTTGATGTTGAGCTGATAGCACCCGATTGGCTGTGGGATTGGAGGGATGGAGAGGAGGCAGGGACGCTGTCTGGGTTTTTCCTGTATTCAGAGGATCTCCATATTGAAGCAAAGTGAAATGGAGGTGATATATAAAGGATAGGTGAATGGGGGAAAACAAACCCAGTGTGTATTTAAAACAATGTAAAGGTTTTATCTTTAGAATTTCCGGACCCCTAGTTGGTGCTGAGATTTGTATTGAGAGACCCCTAGTTAGTCCTGAGATTCGTTTTGTGGAATAGAATTTTAGGACCGTGGCAGGTAATGTTACAATTCCAGGGCAGGTCACAGTTATGATTCCGCTAGAGTTTATGTGCTTTGAAGGCAGGGTCTGTCTGACTCATCTTTGAAACCTGGATTGTGCCTTAGTGATGGGAGTCAATGTTCGGTTTGAATCTAAAGTTTAATTATCTGCAGAGTTATTTCATTTATTGTGATTACGTAAGGGAATATTGGGAATGGAATAAATATTAAGAGGCCACAATGAACAATTCAGCTGGGTTTTAGTTTCTGGATCCATAATATTTGAACAGACATCTGGTGATATTCACTCATGTAAGAATGTCCAGAGGTCCCTGTGCCATATCACATAGGCCCCATGGGCAAGTGTGCAGGTAGTTAAAGTTTAGTATCATGTGGGGGAGCTGGGGGCGGGGGGCATGATCCTTTTTCTGAGGCCCTCGGCTTATAAACCTACTCCGTCTGGCTTGTGTAGGATGAGTTGGATGAACTCCGGGCTGAAATGGAAGAGATGAGGGACAGCTATTTAGAGGAAGATGTTTACCAGCTGCAGGAGCTCCGGCGAGAACTGGACCGTGCTAATAAAAACTGCCGGATCCTGCAGTACCGCCTCAGGAAAGCCGAGCAGAAAAGCCTGAAGGTGGCCGAGACCGGTCAGGTGGACGGCGAGCTCATCCGAAGTCTGGAACAGGACTTAAAGGTGAGTGAGCGGGGCTGATGGGACGTGAGCTCCCGGGAGGAGCTGGGCTGGACGGGGTCGCAGATCTGAAAATGCAGCCCTCGGACCCCACTTACAGGTGGTCTTAATGTTCTGGTCATGTTTCTCTCAACAGACTTTAGCGTGAGCATTTTTCTTCACTTTATGAACGAAGATTCTTAAGTGTGTAGTTATATGGCTTTGGTGGTCCACGATTTAAATCTGTCATATGAAATGGGATCTTCAAACATAATTAAAAAGAAAGAAAAGAAATCATAGGAATAGATCTATAATAAAAAAGAATTAATGCCTGGTAATTGGTGTGGCAATTGTATAGAAATGATAAAGAAACTCCTTCTAAAGATCTGAAATGTTTTATAAAAATCTCTTGATTATCAATTCAGTTATAGTCAAAGACCATTCTTAAGAGTTGACCATAATCACTTAACATTTTTATTGTTAGGTAAGTTTCTAGGATGTAGAAAACCTGAAATTACCATAACCCAAGTGAGTCTTGAATAGTGTAGTGATGATTTAACTGAGGAGAAATAAGATCATAACTAATTGTTGAAAGTGTCTTTGAGAACCAGTGACAGAAATGGGAATGAGGTGAAGAAATCCCAGACTTTAAACCACGGCTTCTCTCATGCCCAATTATCAAATCATTCATCAAGAGATGAACTATGCATAATGTCTTCCTTATTATGGGAGTACTTATGAAACCTCATTTAGCCTTTCATTATGACAACAAAAAAGATCTTTGTACTTCTATAAAATTTACAAAACACTTACAAAATATCATTTAGTGTGGTATAAGGGTGATATATATTTCTTTTACAAAATCTCTTTTTCATTTCCTTTTAGAAAGTAAAAATGTTTAACTGCTTTTAACATTCAAATATTTTACCACAGGAGATAACTTAAAGTTTGACTACATTAAACATCTATTACAGAATTATTATCTTTTTTAGCAAATAGGTTTAATATTACCTTAGGGAACAGAGAAATTGGTTGTGTATTGTTATTATTTCTAATTTATCATCTAAAGCATTTTCACTTGAGCACAATTAACATTCTTGGTAATATCCTATAAGGAAAGAGGGCTATCTAGAGTGGCACTTTAATCCAGATAAAAGTTGTATTCTTCCTCATAATGTGGACATCACATTTTAAACTAATACCCTCCTGTAAAAATCAGCTTGTTAATATTGCTAAGGTCTTTGCTCTTCGGTGTAATACCATACCACTTAATGATTCTGCCTCAAAAGTTGTTTGAATGCAGCCTTGGCGCACAGAAAGCTTCATACCCGGGTGACTATCTCTGCAGGTAGCCAAAGACGTGTCTGTCCGATTGCACCATGAACTTGAAACTGTGGAGGAGAAGCGTGCGAAAGCTGAAGATGAAAATGAAGCCCTCCGACAGCAGATGATTGAAGTGGAAATATCCAAACAGGCCCTCCAAAATGAGCTGGAGAGACTGAAAGAGGTAATCCGGAAATGTACGGGGATTTCTCCTTTGGGCTTAATTATGAGGAAGCTGGGACTCCGAATGTCCCATTATCATTGTGGTTTAAAGTAGTGGTGGGCACACTGTGGTCTATATGCATGGCCTGGGAAGTAAGAATGGTTTTCACATTTTTCTATAGCATTGGAAAACAGCCACCACCATACAAAATAAACTAATAAGCAAGGAAGACTATGTGACAAAGACTGTATGTTGCTTGCACAAACCTGGTGTTTGCTCTCTGGTCCTTTACAGAAAAGCCTGTTGAATCCTGGTCTGAAGCTATTTTTAATACTTTCCATTCAGATAAGCTGGCCATTAATTGTTTTTATGTGTTGAAATGTTGAGCACTATTACTGGAATACAACATTAAGTGGTAGCTTTTTTCTCAAAAGTCTTCTCTTCCAACAAGCATAACGTATTATGGTTGCCTGTGTAAACAGGTAATCTGAATATGTGACCTATATCTGTTATTCAGCCAATATGATTTAAATGTAGATTTTTAAAAAATGTTGTGGAGTGACTATGTCCTAGTAAAGTGGTCTAGAAAATGAATATATATGAATTTATATAAATATAGGAGTGTATGAATATAAATATATACTCATTTGCATAAAGTAATGTAAATCCTGTTCTGTTGTTGACTTCTATTATAAGCTGAGTATTTCCTTGGAAATTATTCTGCATATTGATGAAATTAAAAACTTGGTGAAGGCTTTAAGATAATGGTTTTTAAAAAAAAGATGATTGTTAAAGCCAGCATATTACCTGCTAACAGCCTTACTTAGCAGTTTAGTTTTCCTTTGGCTAAGCTTCCTGATTCACCGGCCATTCCTTGTCTATCTACCCAACTTAATTCAGGCCCTGTACTAGGCATTGGGCATGCAGATGAGAGTATGGCAGCATGGGCCCTTCTCTTAAGGTGTTTACAGTTCAAGATGGCACACAGATAACACAAATTACAGCAAAGGAGCCAGTGCTGCAACCTCTGATTTCTCCCCCACTCCCTTTACTCACAGCCATGCCAGCCTCGAGTTTGCCCTCCCCAGATACGGTCTCTTTCCAGAGATCCAGCCACTTGTGGCTCAGTTCCTCATCTGCAGGTCTCTGCTGACATCTCACCTCATCCAGCCTCCCCTCAATACTTACACATTAAATTGTTCCTGTCTCCACCTTGGCCATCCCCGTCTGCCTTCCCATCTGATATATCATGGATTTGGGTAAATTATATGTATACTAGAGGCCTGGTGCATGAAATTCGTGCACAGGTAGAGTCCCTAGGCCTGGCTGGTGATCAGGGCTAATCGGGGGTTCCTTCCCCCGGCTGCTGGCCAGGGCTTTCCTTCGTTCTGTGCTGCCCCCTGATGGTCAGCGCACATCATAGCGAGCGGTCGGACTCCCAGTCGGTCAAACTCCCGAGGGGACAATTTGCATATTAGCCTTTTATTATATAGGATTGTCACCACTTATCTGAAAATGCTGTGTGTTTTATTTCTTTGTCTCCCTTTCACTATTGCCCCTTTAGAACTCAAGCTCAGTAGACTTGAGGGGCTTGTTTTTTGGCTTACTCTGGGGTCTCTGTGCCTAGAACAGTGCCTGACATATAGGCATCATGGAGACTCGCCGGGTGAACAGGTGAAGGAGGGTGAGAATGTGGAGCTGTAGTGACTACAGCTTGCCTGCGGGACTCAGTGAGCTTCCCAGAGGAAGAGGTAGAAGCTGACAATGTTCTTTCATTCTGAGTAACCCCTGCTTCTTACGTTACACGCACACTTAACCCAGGACCGGAGGAATTTCCTCTGATTGTGAATCTCTTATCTCTGACTTACTGTTCCTAGTAGTTTACTTTCCTCTCTTTCCTTTGGTCTAAGTTTACTAGAAGGTATGCCATAATGGGTTTTTCCCTCAAACCTTCTGGTTTGATCCTGACCATGTGGGTATAGAAAACAACTTAGAAGTTTATTTTATAAATTTGATGTGTGTATATTTGTGTGTCAATATATAAATTATATACACATAAGTAAATAAATATATATGTATATATTTCAGACAAGCAAAAATTCTTCTGCACATATTTAATGGCTTGTGCGATATTTGGCTTCTGGTCATGGATGAAAGCTCTTTGGGGAAAGAAATGATTACTCTTGCCATTCAGAGCCAGGGAAGTGTGAGGCAAGGATCCTCCGAGCTGTGATGTAGGCTCAGGCTGGATATGAGGAGGGGGTCGGGTGGAGGGGTCAGCTCCCTCTCCTTTGTGGGTGAAAGCTATTCGGAGAGGGGTTGTTCAATGGGGACACACTAAGTATTTCACCTCCAGAGTTACAGTCAGGCTGAGGGGGCTGTGTATTTACACCAAACTTCTAAACCAGTGACTTTCAACAGGTGTGCTGTAAGAATTTCTAAAACATGCAATACCTGACTGTGTAGTTCAGGGCACTGACCTCATTTCTCTTAGATTGTCAAACAAAAGAATGACAACAGCCAACACAATAGCTATCTAGTGTGAATATCCTGTCTTGAACCATTAATATAGGGTGTCTCAAAAAAGTGTAAACACACACTTTGAATTATTATAAAGACAGTGTTTATTAAAATACATTTCATTTTTAAAATTGAGCTATCAGCTGTTACAGTGTGTATACATTTTGGGGGCACAACCTGTATATAGGTCAAGAGTTGCATCTTATTGGTCATGTCACATAATAAGGTTGAATCTGATTCGTTAATTATTGGTACCAGAAATCCTTATTAAAAGTATAGGCAACTGATTTTTTTAAAAAGTCACTTTGGAGCTAAATGGGTAGGTAATTACTATTATTATTATTTTTGTTGTAAATGAATCAAAAATACGCCTATTTTTTGGTCAGATTGGCAAAAAATATATTTTTTGGTGTGCCACAGAATTTCAGTAATTAGTTTATGTGTGCCATAAGATGAGAAGGTTTGAAAACCACGGTTCTAAATAAATCATAAAACTGATAGGAGTCTGAGGGAGGGTTAGACGCTGGTATTCTGTGCTGGAAGCAAAGAATGATGGAGCCCATGATAAGGTTCAGAAGTGGTGGAGGAGGTATTTATTGGCAAATGCCACAGTGGTCTCCATGAATGGGCTCTTTTTATGAAAGCCAGAACAAAATACGCCTGAGTTTTGCTCTAGGCTGAGGATAATATTTCTCTCTCCCGAGTCTTACTCGTTACTATTCACCTCTGAAGTTTTGTAAATGGACGCATCACCTTTTGGAAAAGGCAAGGACAGTGCGTGTGTATTTCGCTGTGACAGAAATGTATGTCCCTCTTGGCCTCGGACAGTGAAACAGCGCATGTTTGTACCTCTTCGGCTCTGTAGCCTCCGCCGTGTGTTCTCTCTCAAGCTGCAGACTATTTTCAGCTGCCTGTGCACTTGTCCAAGACAGATTTCTCCTAGCACTTCAAACTCAGCGAGTCAGAAACAGACTTGGCACCCTCGCCTCCATCTGCCCCTTCGTCTGTCTTGCCCCGTTGGGTTGGTTCGTGGTGCCACTGTCCTTTTAGGCACTCGGGCTTAAGTGATTGTTACTGTTCTTACTTCTCTTGCTTCCCAACCTCAATTGCCTGCCAGGTGCGTAAGGTTCAACTGCTCCTTGCTTTTGCAGTCTTAGAAATTTTCTTTCTCACTGATAAATGCTACAATATGGATGAACCTCAAAAATATGCTAAGTAAAAGGAGTCAGACATGTATGATTTCATTTATAGGAAATATCCAGACTAGGTAAATCCATAGAGTCAGAAAAAAGGTTAGTTGTTTTCAGGGCCTGAGGAGAGGGGAGAAAGGGGACGGTCTGCTTAATGGGTGTGGGGTTTCCTTTTGAATAATGAAAATGTTTGGAACTAGATAGAAGTGATGGTTGCACAACATTGTGAGTGTACTAAATGCCACTGAATTTTACACTTTATAATGGTTAATTTTTTAAAATTGATTTGAGCGAGAGACAGAGAGAAAGAAAAAGAAACATCCATGTGAGAGAGAAACATCTATCGGTTGCCTCACGCATGTGCCCCAACCAGGGAATCAAACCTGCAACCTGGGTATGTGCCCTGACCAGGAATTGAGCTGCTGCCTTTCAGTGCATGGGACATACTCCAATCAATGGAGCCACACCAACCAAGGCTATAATGGTTTATTGTAACCTCAATTAAAACGTTTTACTTTCTCTGTTCTGTTATCAATGGGGTATTCTCTGTGTCCCCACCTGGTGGAAGTGGGCTTCTTGGGGTGCTGTGGGAACAAGAATTTCCTGAGGCCTCCATGGGAGGATTGAGGTATCATGGAAAACTTTATTGATGAGGTAACATTAAGGGAGTCTCCCTCCAAGGTCCCATCTCCCTTCATCCCGCCATGGGCTGAGATCAAAGCCAGCCCATAGTCTTTGCTCCATATTAAAGCACAGTCCAGTCCAGCATCTGGCCAGCGTGGCTTGTGTTCCCAGGGCAAGTCCATTGCACAGCTTCTGGGGTCACAGAGGCAGGCCAGTGCCGGTCATGGAGTAAACAAATGCAAGGAAGCAGGAGCAAAACAAGAGGAACAAGAGAAGGAGAACACTGTCTCGGGGTTGTAACTAGGAACTTAACCAATGAAGCCTTGAGGATTTCACCCACTTGCAGTGGCTCTGCCCCTCTAGCCAATGATCCTTGTTCCCAGGTTAGACTGACAGGCAAGCACCTTCCTTATGTCACCGCACCTTCACTGCACTTGAGCTCAAGTTCCCTTTTGCTTGATCCTTTTCCCCAGTGATCTGCAGGGAGTGGACCGGTGGTTCCCTGGGGAGTCTGAAGCTTGCAGCTTCCTGGTGAAGCTGTCCAGATGACCATGCTTATTAATAACTAGCTAATTACAATGGTATCATTTCCACCCTACTTTCTGATTGTCTTCTAGAATGCCTATTAGTCATATGTGGGATCTTCTTATGTTGGCCATCCTTAGTCCATCCTCCATCTTACTTAAC